AATTAGTACCTAGCTAATTGTCTTATATACATTTTTTTGGGCAAGATTGACTAATATATATATATATATATATATATATATATATATAAAATGAAGGTCTATATGAAACCCATGACATGCATGTCAGTATGATATAAATATATATATATAGTAAAATAAAATAAAAAAATTGACTTATCATAAATAATATCATAATCAAGCCACATAATAAGACACTTTTTGATATAAAATTAGTACTAGAGGATCTGAAAATATGGTTCATGTGACATATCAATGCTACACCAGTACTAAGATCATGACTATCCATGGAAGTAGACAAGGGACTTCACATCATTTCAAACATAATCTAAGATATAAATGTTTTTTTATTTTTTATTTTTTGAATGAATCTAAGATTAATATATTTGTTTTCTTAGTTAGTCATACTGATATATGTGTGTGTGTGTGTATAATATGTACTATAGATATATATATATATATATATATAAATGTTTTTTTATTTTTTTATTTTTTGAATGAATCTAAGATTAATATATTTGTTTTCTTAGTTAGCCATAATGATATGTGTGTGTGTGTGTGTATAATATGTACTATATATATATATATATATATATATATATATATATATATATAAATGTTTTTTTATTTTTTATTTTTCGAATGAATCTAAGATTAATATATTTGTTTTCTTAGTTATAATGTCATTTGTTTTAACTTTTCATTCATAATGATATACGTGTGTGTGTGTGTGTGTAATATGTATTATATATATATATGTATTATATATATATATATGTGTGTGTGTGTGTGTGTAATATGTATTATATATATATATATATATAATGGTCCATAAAGAAAAGACATTACATGCAAATGTTGATCCTCCAAGCAAGTACTAAAATGAAAAGTAAAGACATGTACTATCTAATATTCCATATTATTTTGCATAAAGTCATGTTTCCATACTTGTTAATCTCAATTTTACTATTTTATCAAATTATGATATATACATTGTAAATGGTCATCATCTACCTCCTCTAGGTAAAAATATATAATATTTCGGAGTAGCGGTTACTGAATACTTAAAGAAAATGAGATATTTTGACTAGCCGGAATTTTAAATACTTGTAAGTTTCTTACTCTAATAGTTAGATTGTTCCTCGTGTCTGAGATCCTGTGTGAGTCTTACAGTCTCCCCATCCCTCTAACCACTAATCCCTAACATTCTTGATGTCAAAAAAAATAAAAAATAAATGATGTAACTATATTAATCTATAGATTTTCATGTATGCTTAAAGCCTTATACAAGTATAATACCTTGATTTCAAGTTTTATCAAAAAATTACTCACCCAAATATATATATATATATATATATATATATATATATATATATATATTGTATTGAAAAATTGTGGGATAATCCTACTATATATAATAATTTGAGTGAAATTATTAAAATATTCACAAATTGCATTCTAAAAAACTTGTAGGAATGAAGTTGGCAAATTTCGCTGGGATTTGTGAAAATAATAATAATAATAATAATAATAATAATAATAATAAAGTTTATTATTAGTATAACATATACAAGACAAAAAACAATCTTAAAACAAAAAAGTGGCAACAAAAAACAATAAAACAGGTACTAAATATAGATAAGACAACAATTAGAGGAAACAACAAAAACCTACTACTACTTCAACGGCCAATGTCTTACAAACGCAATATAAGGCGTGATTCTCGCGGGAGCCAAACGGTATAATCTTTTTTCTTTTTAGAGAGAGAAAGTGTAGAGAGAGAGAGAATATTTGTGAGAGAGAGAGTAACAAAGAGCATGTTAATAAGAAAGAAGATAAAATATACTCTCAATCTCTCAATCTCTCAAATACCTTGGCTTCACGCACGTGCAGTCTTAAGGGCATGAATACAGTCAAAAGATAGATACAAAATATACAATACATATATATACATATATGTATAGAGAGAGAAAATATGGTGATCAAATGATTTTGTAATCCATTGCTTTATGATTGACACCTCGCTGACTCTGACCAACTGAGCTGCCCATCTGCTGCTGCCCTGACCTGGGACTCAGACTGTGACCTCACTGTCATCCATTTGCAGCCTTGTGTTCTTTCACATCTACGGGCAGTCCGGGCAGCTCTGCCTCTATTTGATTGCGACCATACTGCCCCTCCCTCTTTTTAAGGGCAAACTTCTATTTTTTCTTTTTCTGTGAAATGAAAGCGTTTCAGAAAAGGCTTATTTTTAGGGCAAGTCCAGTCTCTGTCAGTGTCACACACTTTTTTATTTTTATATGTATATATTATATATATATATATATATATATATATATATATGTTCACAATATGTTTAGAATATCAAATATGAAAAAAATACAAAACTCGAATTAGAGAATTCAAAGTGGTAACTCTGAAATTTTACTGTCTCAGCTATCCCAACGGGTTGGAATAAAAGATAAAAACATAAATTTTACACGATCTGTTACTCAAGAAACACCAACCATAATCATCATTTAATATGAGAGTGTAAAAAAAAAATTATGAAAAATAAAAACATAACAATCATATCCAATTATCATGAATAAATTTATTGTTAACTGGCATGTAAGAGATCATTTATGATATATATAGAGAGTAATGCTTTTTAATTTAATTAAATAACTAAATTATCCCTAGAAATGGAGTTTTAAAGTACCTTTTTAAATAAGTGGAGTGTGATATTTTGAGAGACAATTGTGCAATTTTCTTTCTGGAACAAGTGGAGTGTGATATTTTGTGGAATGTGAATGTTATTTTCTACTCCCTTCATTTCAAAATAGTTTGGGTATTTTGAGAACTGTGACTCACTTACAATTATCAAAGTACCCAATTATTTTAAGACCGAGGGAGTAATTATATAGGGTGAATTGCACATTAAAGCCCGTTGATTTGTACACTTTGCAGTAAACCTCCCTTTGATATTTTTTTTTTGGACTAAACAAAAGGGTTACTTTTCTGACTTACTGTTAAAAATACCACTACCAAGTCACAAAGAGTTTTATGCAATTCGTCCAATTATATATAAATATAGTACCAATAATATATTAATCGGGTGAATTGTATAAAATTCCATTTGACTTTGTGGGGGTATTTTAGTAAACGTAAGTTAGAGGGGGGGTTTTGGCCAAAAAAAAAAAAAAAAAATTTATTGTAAAACGCTACAAACCAAGGGGTTTTATACCATTCACCCTTATATATACATATGTATGACTATATACGCACATATGTGTGTATCAAAGAGGTTAAGAATATAAAATGTAGGTATTGGAAGATATTAGTCATTTTTATGGTGGCATTTTGTAAGTAATCTTGACATAAGCATTAAGCAATAGCTTATTTAATACTTTTCTCATAAAAGTGAGTCATTGATTATAAATTTAAATCTTATTTAAAGTGGGTCTACATCTTAATGGGCTTGATCGTAATAAACCCATCTCACTTGCCATTTAGCTTATTTAGTTTCTAATTTTGACCCATTTTGTTTTCGTCGTGGCCTAATTTTTCTTTTCTTTTCCTCTTGCACTTTTTTTTTTTTTTTTTTCTTTTCTTTTTTATATATTAAAAATAATTTAGAATATTTTTTATGAAAAAATAAATAAAAAAACGACGTTCATAACTTTATATAATTAGATTATTAGGTTGATAGCTTTCCCAAAAAAATATAGTTTCATGTGAATGGGCTTGGGCTCAGTTTAACCCCTTCGAGGGTTGGGTCAGTTGGCAATCTTGGGCCCTAGTTTCAATTGGGCTGCACCTTATACAAGAACAATACCATCAGCCCGGATGGTTCCACCATCATACCATCAGCCCGGATGACCAGTCAATACTTGTGGTTTTTTTTTTTTTTTTTACTTATTTATTTCAAATATAATAATGATTTAAGAATCCGTAGTTACTGAAGTCGAATTCAATTTTTGTGAGGGGTGGTGGGCTCCCATCATATAATGTTATGTGATAGATTTACCGTTCCTTTCACATAAATTAAATTCAGTAACCGATCAAATTCAATCTCTATACTACTGCTCTTTCAAATATCATTAATTTTCTATTTAAAAATTTTGAATTTTTTCGGTTTCTTCCCTTAGTTAACGATAACCAAAACAAACTATAAACATCATATATTGCATGGACCCTGGGCCTTATAACCCAAGGGTTTATTTGCTCTTCCACAGAAACAAAGAATCCCAAAGCAGCCCAAAAACTTTTGGCACATCTCTGTCAAATGAAATATACAAAAATACGAAATTTAATTTAGTTGGAGGGATGAAAAAAATTGAGGGAAGAGAGTTATTAGACATTCTGGAGGAGAAAAAGTGTTTCCTTCATTTTTTGTTTGATTAAATAGAAGGAATAAAGAAAAAATTGATGTGGTGACAATTTTATATATATATATATATATATATATTTTGTGTGTGATTGGAAAGAATGAAAAGAAATTTTTTATATATTTTTATCAATATACCCTAACTAAATAAATTTATATACATTTTCACGTAATTTTGAGTAGGTAAAATTTGAATAATTAATTCACTTATTTAATAATTTGTGTTCAAAAGACTAGGTGTTTAAAATATCTAGATTCAGAATTGAAAAATCTATATTCAAAATATCTACCATCTAGAACATAATAAATAAACATATACTAGAACATAATAAACAACATAGATTTTAAGAATGAAAAAATCCAGATAAAATAAGAGTGAAATTTGCCTATAAATAAATGGTAGCACAAATAACAAATGTAACCAAATTTAATTCATCCTACAATCCACAATGTTATTTTTTCTTAAAAGTTATTCAGGTTGCTTTGTAAAATTTTCAAAAATTTCAAGTCACTGAAAGCATGTTTTATTCATATCTAGATAATAACAATTTAAGCAAATTAGTAATCACAGGAATGGTGACTACTGAACAACACCAATGGTCTGTCGTGGTTGTTGTTTTTAATAATATACAAAGTATTTAAATAAATATAATTGTTGTTCTAAATAATTTTGAAATCATAATTCACTAGCCCTCTGAACAATAACTCAAGCCACTATATGGTTACAAATTTCAAGTGACACTCACTTATCCACTCAAATTTCACATAGAAGAACAAAATGACTACTGGTACTACTTTCTGCTTCTTCTTCTCTGCAAACCCTACCAAACCCTTCCAATTTTGGTCCCCAAAAACCCATCCATCATTTTCCAAATCTAATTACAACTCCTTTTCTTCCCCAATTCCTCGTTTGGCTTCCAACAATTTCGCCCTTTCCAAGACACTCAATCCCGTTATCTGTAAAAGCACTTCTACAATCTCCACAAACACGACCCATTACGAGGTACTTTGCTTTCGATTTCTCATTATATGTTTTTGTCAAATGTAGGAAAATAAATGAATTTTGAAAATTTTGAGTTCTGTTTGGAAGCTGAGAATATTATTTGAAGCGAATTTTTGTCTCTCGTTGCACTAATTTTGAAATATTTAATAGTTTTAGACTTCTATAATGGTGTTTTAATACTTTGCGCCTGATATCTCATAATTTGCGGTTGTGGAGGGTAGGAAAAGAAAACAATTTTGAAATTTTTTTTATTTTTTATTTTTGTTTGGAACCTGAGAATATTAATTAAGATGAAATTTGTATCTGACTGCACTATTTTTGAAATCTTAAATAGTTTTAAATTTCTATTATGTTGTTTTTCTCTCTCAATTCATTTTCTGGTATAATTCATGAATTTCTATTGGCTTCAATATATTCAGTATTCTGATATAATTTTGATTTTTTGTTGGAACCTGAGAATATTAATTAAGATGAAATTTGTATCTGACTGCACTATTTTTGAAATCTTAAATAGTTTTAAATTTCTATTATGTTGTTTTTCTCTCTCAATTCATTTTCTGGTATAATTCATGAATTTCTATTGGCTTCAATATATTCAGTATTCTGATATAATTTTGATTTTTTGTTGGAACCTGAGAATATTAATTAAGATGAAATTTGTATCTGACTGCACTATTTTTGAAATCTTAAATAGTTTTAAATTTCTATTATGTTGTTTTTCTCTCTCAATTCATTTTCTGGTATAATTCATGAATTTCTATTGGCTTCAATATATTCAGTATTCTGATATAATTTTGATTTTTTGTTGGAACCTGAGAATATTAATTAAGATGAAATTTGTATCTGACTGCACTATTTTTGAAATCTTAAATAGTTTTAAATTTCTATTATGTTGTTTTTCTCTCTCAATTCATTTTCTGGTATAATTCATGAATTTCTATTGGCTTCAATATATTCAGTATTCTGATATAATTTTGATTTTTTGTTGGAACCTGAGAATATTAATTAAAATGTATTTTTTTTTTTTTTTTGTCTGATTGCACTATTTATAAAATCTTAAGTAGTTTTAAACTTCTATAATGTTGTTTTAATCTATGAATTCATTTTCTGGTATAATTCGTGAAATTCTATTACCTCAATGGAATTGGCTTCAATATAAAAGTAAGAATGTGAAAAAATGTGATGCAGTTTTCTGATAATTCTGATGAGGTGGAGTTGAGATTAGAAATTGGGGGTCAAGAAATTCCAAGTTCCAGAGATGTATTTGTGGATGCAGATGAGAGTTCTTTGACAATCAGAGTAAAGCACACTGGGTCTGTTAAGACTCTCATGGAAAATACTTGTCTTTACGAGAAGATAAAGCCTGGTGAAACAATATGGTCAGTGGAATTGATCATATACCCATTTTCATTAACAACAGTGGTTGATTGTTTGTTTCGAGCTCAAAGTTTTTCTTTTTTTCAATTCTCAGGTTTATAGACGAAGATCAACTGGTTGTTAATTTGAAGAAGCAAGACCCAGATTTAAAATGGCCTGACATCATGGAGTCTTGGGAGTCCCTCACTGTGGGAGTTATGCAACTCCTAAAAGGAACATCAATCTACTTAGTTGGGGATTCAACTGAAATAAACCAAAAAATTGCTCGAGAACTGGCAGTTGGTCTTGGGTACGAACCTTTCCTCCTTTTGGGTTCTAAGGCAAAAACAATTGGGTGGTAGTGGTGTATCCGTTCGTCTGACACCTTGATGTTAATGATTTGTCAATTCGTTATCGCTTGCCCTTTTTGCGCAGCCATCTGGTTTTTATGGCGTATTTCATGTTTACTGCATTCATCTTCACATGACTTTACTACATTATGTTGTTAATGACAGTCAAGATAACATTATATTGTTAATGAACTCACCAAAATATATATGATATTGAGCTTGTATACTGGTTTTCGTGCATGTATGCTTTCCGCTTACAGGACTCAATCTGGATTTAATCATATAACTGTTTTCATGGTTCTACAGTAATCATGGTACTGAAATTCCTATAATTTTAGTGGTCTTTAAGAGCACCCTATATGTTATGTTTTTAACTTATTTGCAGTGCTGACTCAAATATTTTAATCATATCACTGATTACACGCTTCTACAACAGTTATCATATATTGTAATTATGGAACCAATTTTCTATAATTTTTTAGTGGTCTTTAAGTGCACCATATAGTAGTGACTCAAATACTTCAACTAGACTATGGTGACTCAATTTTGGATAAATAATGGAGTCTTTCCAGTACATTTCTATGTTGCCATGGCTTTTCATATCTTGCTATGTCCTAAGAGTTTCACTGGTTTATATGGCTGTCAGGTATACGCCTCTTAATACAAACGAACTGATGGAACAATTCGCCAAGCAAACTATTGATTCATGTAAGTATTATTGATTGTACTGGCTATTCATCAACGCTAATTTTCTGCCTCTACTAGGAGCTCATTATATAATTCATTATTAGAACCCCAATAGTCTGCGATAGTTTAAAGCTTATGTGAGTATGATTGTACTGGCTGTTCATCAACGCTACTTTTCTGTCTCTGTTACTAGGAGCTTAGTATATAATTCATTATTAGAACCCCAATAGTCTCCGGTGTATTAAAGCTTATGTGAGACAGTTGAACCAGGTCTTGGAGAGACCTCACAAATGTTTCCCAAGGACTCTTGCGACCATATGAATGGGTCTTGAAAAAAGAGGTCTATGGTTTGCTCCATAGTCTTTGCTACATATATATATTTATATATCATCATCATCATCATTTTCATCCCATTTAAATCTTAGTTGTTTGTCGTTGCTTGGTGCAATGGTAAAAATCCAGACAAACTGTGGTAGCCATTTCGAATCTGATAGGAGCCACTTTATGCAAGATAATGCTATATGTTAGTCATGTCTCAAGTCTTCCCCTTCAACATGCTTGTTGACTGGATATACATGGGGTATTGAACATTATCATTGTAACAGTTATCAAATGCGGTATGTTTTGGCAGATCTTAATTTTTAAGCAATTTAAGAACACCTAAATTTGTCATCATGCATTTTCTTGTTACATTTTGGAGTGCGATCAACTAGCCATTTCTTTTATATGTTTACTTATGCTCATCCTTTCTTTTCTTTATTTTCAGTAAGTTGTTAATCCTTTTCATTTAAATACAATTGCATTGATAATGAAGATAAACAAATGAATTGTGTAATACTGAAGATTTTATTAAAGGAAACCTATCATGAATTTGTTGTCACTAAGCTCGTGCCCTCACAATAATAATTGGGTCGAGAGGCTGGCCTTCCACAATCTCTTGAGTCTTGATCCAACGACTATGAGATGCGAGCTTAGTGAGAGCCCAATCATGATAGACTTGCTCTTTATTAAAACTTGTTCAGATTACAAAGACAATAAAAATGTCAAGTGACCTCCTCTAGAATGCTCAAAATGATTTTATCCCTCGTCTTTCAGTGCATTAACAAGTCTAATCAATTCCAGGGGTGATTGCAGAGGGGTCCGGCTCTGTTGCAGAAGCCGAAAGTGCTATATTAGAAAGCCTTAGCAGGCAGGATTTTGGCTTGAATTGGTTATTATTCTTTTCTTAAGGATCAACACATCTTACATAGGACTTGGTTGGTATTGTAGTCATGTTCGTGCTGTCGTTGCGACATTAGGAGGGCAGCATGGTGCTGCTGGAAGGGCTGATAAATGGCGGCATCTTTATGCAGGATTTACTGTCTGGCTGTCACAAACTGAAACCACGGGTATGTCTTTGATATTCTGTTTGTTGTTTCATTTGGGAGGCATCTTATATGAGTTATTATAATTTCAATTATTTGATCTTGTTTTAATTATCTTTGGGTGCAACAGGAGTTTACATGTGAAAAATCATCCTTCATCTTTACTTTATTTATTTATTTTTTTACTTTTTCTTTTTTTTTCTTTTTCTTTTTTGTTTGGCAAATATACTCATATACACATGCCTCCCCTTTGTTGGTATCTTGACTTTTTGTGATCACATTGCATCACATCAATAGAAAATGAATACAAATCAAATCATAATTGCTAAAGAAGGAATTTACTTCAAAAAGGTGAATTTTGCTTTTCCTGATTGGCATATGAAATACATCTCATTGCATGGTTGTCGGATGTAAACTACTTTGGACTATGTATCTAGGATTGTCGTTATTACCTTAAGGGTGATTTCAGAAGAATGATAAGTAACTTAACTGTTTTTCTTCAAATCCGTGTTCTTAAGCAAGGATGTCGAGATACTAGATAGGAGTGCTAGTTGTTCCTGATATCAAATTATTGGATTACATAAAAAATTATTCTAGATTAGACAAAATGGGAAACAATTTAGTAAAAAATTGGAAAAATTGAACTAACTAAACATTCAGTTCACTTTTAACTTTTAAGATTGTTGGGAAGATAATAGTTGGTGCTATTTTAACAATAAAACAATAGATTAAAGTAACTATAACAACCAAGAACTTTTAATATAAATATAAAATTTGAAAGAATGCTCATCAACCAAGGCATAGAAACTAATATGCTATTCTTAAAAAATAAATCTCACCCCCACTAGGATCGCATTACTCTCGTTATGAATCCTCTTTGTAATACGAAGGCAATTCTGTTAGAAGAACAGTTAATCATGTATGGCATACTGCACCTTTGATGATATAAAAGTACTGGTCTACACAATTAAGAAAGCAATGCTGGATACTTTCCATTTTTGTATCTTGATCTTTTTTAGTGGTTTTAGTTGTACTGGTGTCTCTAATGACTTCAGTATGCCCCATGCATGCATTAGTTGTGCCTGTTTTGAACGCTTCTTCTGTACTATATAAATGTTTACTTATTGGTGTCCCCCTTGATACAGATATAGCTTTACATTGTCTTACATGAAAAAAAATAAAAAGTAATAATAGAAAATTAAATTATAGTCCCATTTTTCGCAAGGATAGATAAGGAGGTGAACTCTGCATATTTCCAGTACTCTTACAGTGAGTTTTCAATTTGTCGCCCATAGATGCCATAGATGAATTGTTTTCAGCAAAGATAATGTGGATACCGTTTGGTGCCTTAACTGCTTTGGTTGGTCAGCAGTGTCTGTATATATATACATACATATATATAGATGACACCTTACCGCTAGAAAGTGCTGGAGCTCTCCAGTTCTGCAATCTCCTAATATTTTGCTACACTTTGCGTTTCTGAGAATTCGCCTCTCAGATCATATGGTTCAGGCCTAACATAGTTGCACATATTTTAATCAGAAGGAAGACATATTAACTGGAAGCACATCATGTTGTCATTGATAAACCATATGTTAGAACAAGAACCAACATCCATCACATTGAAATCAAGGCGTCGTTCTGCTTGTACTCCAGTTGATATAATCACGATAGTGCTTTTCTTTTCTCGTAAAAAGAAAAGCATACATGCAGACGCTAGTTTATGTATGACTTGTGCATCTATTTAGACCGTCAAGAAAGTCGAAAAAAAGCAAAAAGGATAACTACTTTAGTATCTTCTGCTGGTTATATGAACAGTTTGTGAAGTATTTTATTATTCTGACGACCTAAAGCTTTAGTTTTGTGAAAAAACTTTCTAACAGGCCAATTTTTTGTTGTATTCTGTGCCGCTATATATTTTTGCAAGATGTCTGGCTTAGTGCATAGAGACTGTTATTTCAGCTTTGAAGCTCGGATGGAGCCACTCCTTGCTGTTATGATGTGATCGGGGACTGAATTTGTATTCAAGATTGTGATTTTTGTTTACTTCTATGGCAGATGAAAATTCAGCGAAAGAGGAGGCCAGGAGGCATATCCAAGATGGTAGTCAAGCTTACTCTAATTCGGATGTGGTAATCAAGCTTGGGGGCTGGGATCCCGACTACTCTAAAACTGTGGCTCAGGCTTCCTTGAGTGCACTTAAACGATTGATTCTGTCAGATAAGAAGCTCCCAGGTACTCGACCGTTCCTTTTTAATATCTAATGCTGACATTGTACCATAATGCATCATAATTATCATTTCAATATGGATGAGCTTTTGTTGACTACATTTCTACTAGCAAAAACTGCAAACATAAATTACAGGTCAATGTTGAAAGAAAGTGACTATTATTCTTCGGATTTCCACCCCTGGATATAATTCAGCTCAATTATAGCCACTCTTGTCTTTGTTTCTCATAACAAAAACAAATAAGATGAAGTGAAAACTAGAGAGATTTTACTAGTCTAGTTCGTGTGACTGGAAAAAAGAGAGGACTTGTTATCTTCCAACCTGAATTTTCGAGAACAAAACTACCCACGAAGCTCTGGTGTATTTCAGTTTTCAGTTTTCAGTCTATACTCGGGTTGATTGATTTATATTCCAAATTATTTCGATCCCTTATCAATAGTGATCTGCCTCGGCAAATTTTAAGGAAAGGATTTTCCTGATAGATAGACATGACATCGGAAGAAACCCTACTGCGAGGTTTGGGAAAATGAATTGTTTTTCAATAATGTAAACCAGAATACAACCTGGGAAAAAAAAGATTAAGTTTCCAGTATGATTTTGCAATTTTAAATTTATTTTTTTACTTGTATAAAATTAATATATATATATTAATCCGTTGATTAACCACTAATTTATTTTGCAGGTAAAAAGAGTCTATATATAAGGTTGGGATGTCGGGGTGATTGGCCAAACATCAGACCTCCTGGGTGGGATCCATCAACAGGAGCTGAATCCTCTCCTTCAACATTGTAGCACTGATCATAATACCAAAAAAAAAAAAGGGGGAAAAAAGAAGGAAAAAAAAAAAAAAAAAAGTCATAACAAAATGAATTTTGCTTTTCCAAAGCATTTGTGATCATCATCCTTGTAAATGCATATAGAAAAATCTTCAAACCCTGCCCTCATAGGATAGATCACGTAATTTTATCGCGCGGATTTTCCTCAATTATATACTCTAAAATCTCATATTCATGTTGTCTATGTTGTTATCATTATAGATCTTGGAATTTTTATTGTATTTTATTTATCTCATCAGTTTCCGAATTGGTGTAGCCATGTTCTCTCCCCATTCCCAGTTTGGGGGGAAAAAAAATTGAAAACGAGAACAATCCAACTCAACCGCTCTAGCAATGTGACAACTTTAGCTCGTAAACACAAAAGTACTGTGTGCACTTTTTTGAAAAGATTTCATTACGGAGGAAAACAAAAGAAAATTTGTAAGATGGCGCACTTCAGCCGAACCCAATTCTCCTTTCCAAACAATGCCCAAGACGGACTGAACATCACAACCTGAACACCATGGATTCTGCTACAGTTGCAGTCCCAACCTCACTTGTAGTAAGTCGCTGCAACAAGCACCATGCGACCTGTGTTGTCCCAAAATTCCATCCCATCCCTCAACATTGCAATTGAGCGACCCATGGATTGGATTGGTTTATCACACCTATTTACCTTCGGAATAGCTGACCTTGGTGACAACCTGAAGGAGCTCTTCAAAACACACTCCACCATTTACTCTCAACATCCTACCCATGAGAATGGTTAAAAACTGCTTCATTTCAAAACTTCCATTAACATACAACACACAAGCAGCAACACCAAACATCGCGCCAAACTGGGAAAGCTTTTCGCATTCAGCGGTTATATCTATTTGCAGGGTGAGAGCTTCCACGCCATGACAGCAACCGGACACCGAATCAACGAATATTCCACACTTTCTTCTTCCAAGCTACAAAGTTATTAACCACATGATTTCTCTGTTGTTACTTTTTATTTTATTAGAAGTTGTCTTTCAAGGTCTTTTCTAACAACTCATCTTGTGAGAACTTCTACAGCAGCAATTCAAACATGCCTGGGTGCTGACAGCCAATCATGGATCAAACAGTTATTTACTCCACCCAACAAGGAGATCCTAGTACTGAACTATATATCAATTGAATCTCTCTCAAACCTACTAGATGTTTCACTTTCAACCCCAAGGTGAGACACTCGCCGGAAAATTTTCACTGGAAATACCACATTGTTTGGGCTCAATCGGCTTGCCTATCATTTCATTCGAGGTTAACTCCCAGTTTTGACCTAAACTTGAAAACCACAACTCAACTCGTTTGTGGCCCGAAGTCAGACATCAAAGAGAGAAAAATAATTGGGCTCATCCCACGCAACCAGGTCAGCAAACATATTGTAGCATAATATATTTAAGGAAAATTAACAAATGTAACATTCAGAAACATAAATACCTGCAACAGACAGAGTTTGCATCAGTTGCGTACCCACAAGTACTACTACTAATTACCATGTATCAATCTATAAAGTCGGATAAACATCCATTAACAAAACGGAGAGGAAAGTTCGGACAGTTCCCAAACACCAAAACCTAAAACGATTCAACCATGTTCACTAAGATATTTCACAACTTCAAATCTCCGCCACAGAAGCATCAAAACACCTTGTCTTCAAGTATGTAAAGCGGTCTTTTGGAACCTACCATACCATATTGAAGAAAGAAGTGATTTTGATCATTCAGAGACCACCGGGACACTCTAGCTTATTTTTAGGTGCATCTGCTTCACATGTAGGTTTTGATGGTATCTGCAAACAAAAAAATAATAATATTAAATTCCAAAAGTTTGACACTCAGCAGAACCAACACACTTTTCTATATCATTCCAAAAGTTTAATTTTAGGAAGTAATAGAAATCATCAGAAAGCTTATTAACATTCTCGACACCTCCATTAAGAGAGTGTAGTCAGTCAAATGTTGTTTTAGTTAATTCCTCGATTCCTTACTAGAAATTATTTATTGCCTTTTTTACTAAAAAACACAATTCAATGTATTTCACCGAGGGTTTAACCGAGTGCCCTACTGCCCTCCGAAAACCCTCCATTAACAAACCAACATGAAATGCATGGTAGTAGCATAAACTGCCAACAAAGTTACTGCAGCAATAACCACAGAATCTCAAATAAGGATGGCTCACTGAACCCTATTCATATAAAAAAAACACGTGAGCAGATTATACCATGCTATCAATTTTAAAGAATACATTTTCTTTAGCACATTGATTCGCTAATTGGGGGGAAAAAATCATAGAAATTCCACCCCTTGGAGTGTTATCATCAAACAACCATTCTTGCCAAGTGCCAGCAATCTAGGAAGCAAAAACACGTCGAAAAGGTCAAAGTAGCCATGTTAAAAATAGCATTGCGTTACACATGGACACAAACACGCTGACAGACACACCCAAAAAAAACAAGTCCAAATATTTTTCCTTAAATAAAAGGACAAGCTGCAAATACATGTAGTATTCTCTTCACACTACGGGGTTCTTTGAAAGTATTCCTATTTTATGAAGTATTTTATAATCAACTTTCCAAATAAGTCCTCATACTTTTAGCCTTTTTATGTTCCAACCTCTCCATAATTTTGAAGTATGAGGACTCTTTGAAAAGTTCCAACAAAATAGAGGTGAAATATAAAAAAATTTAGTAGTTTTCTATTTTAACTTTAATTCAGTAACATCTCTATTACTTTGTTCAAAAGAGTAAAAGATTAAGAAGAGTAAACTCGTCCAAAAAAAGAAGAAAAAAAAGAGCAAATTAAGAGTCACTCCCACCCGCAACAGAGCGTCTAAAGCTTGGACACTATCGACTGTCGAAGCTTGACAGCCGCAAATCTTTTTCAACTTTAACAAATCAGTCACCTCCTCCATTATTCTTCTTTCTTTCTTTTCCTGTTCCATCTTATTCCATCACAAACCCCCCATTCATCCTCAGTAAATACTCACTTTAATTATCAATTAAGTCATATTTTTTTTCTAAACAGAACCCCAAATATCTCCCACTAGGGTCCATTTGGTTAACCGGAATTGATGTAAGAAAGTGAATAGAAAAGAAAGTGAAGTAAAATAAGATAAAGTGAGGTTTCTATTATGCATTTGGTTAGCATGATATTCTTTTGAGAAATTTGTGAGAAAATATTGTTTTATAAGTTTGGATAGTATGAAAGTGAAAAGAAAATGATTTCACGTACCAAAACTAACCTTATGAGTTCAATACTAATATACATTTGTTTTTTAATATACATCATCATGCAATAGGTCAGGTAAAAAAGGCAAAAAAAAAATGATAATAATAATAAAATAATATATAAAATTGGTTTACAAATGAATATATATGTGTGTGGAAATACATACAAATATATATATATATATATATACAAATTGGTATATGAATGAATATCTACATGAGTGCATGTATGTATATGTGTCCAATTACATACAAACATATATATATATATGCTAAAATTATGGATAATTTGGGTTTGTTATTTAAAAATATATTCTTTTACTGTATGTGTTTGTGTGTATATATATATATATTTGGTACTTGGCTCTTTAGATTTATTATTATTATTATTATTTTAAGTTCTCATTATATATTAGGACTCAGATATTAGATCGACTCACTTCTTTTGTGAGTCTGGAGACGAGTCCTAAATAAAAGAGAGTCCATAAGTTGTAACATAATAGTAGAGTCCTAATTTATCGATGAAGAACACTCACTTCTTAGAAGAACAAAGAAAAACAAGTAACAAGGGTATAACAGGAAATTTAAATATAACGATACAACTTTCACGGGAAACTAAAATTTTCGCGTGTTTTATGGAGGAAACTTTTTCTGGAAAATCAACTGTTATGAGTATTATTAATCAGAGAAAATGGAGTCAAAGCAGAATTTCTAATGATGGAAGATATACACTCCCTTTGGTTTTCATTACTATTTATATTACAAGATTTGCCAAACAAGTGGATACAATCAAGGAGGAGTAATTACAGTATATGTAAAAGGTAAATCACCTAATCAAATCCCATAATTACAGGAACTATATTAAGGTAGGTCAATGTTAGCTAATACAATCCTAAATGTAAGGCATGATTATTGTCACTATTTACAATGAAAATCCTCATTACTGTTTTAAATTTTCTGTTTCTTTTTTGTAGAAACTGAAGAGAGAAATGAAGATGGAGGCTGTACAATTCTCATTACTCAACCCTAAATAAAATAAGGGATATTTATAAATATAAGAAAGGCCTAATTTCATTATGGCCACAAACTATAAGTAATTACAATTTGATCCAACATATATATATATATATGTAGTCTAACACTCCCTCTCAAGTTGGAGAATATATATCATATAATCCCAGCTTGGAACAGATAGTTCTTAACCGATTATGACCCAACACTTTGGTAAACATATCAGCTAATTGATCTTCAAACTTCACAAACGGAGTGGGGATGCTCCCACGCAATATTTTTTCTCGAATGAAGTGACAATCAACTTCAATATGTCTGGTCCTCTCATGAAACACAGGATTGGATGCAATGTAAATAGCTACTTGATTATCACAAAACAACGAAATGGGAGTTTTGACTATCAAAACTCACAAACGGAGGGGAGATGCCCCCACACAATATTTTTTCTCAAATGAAGTGACAGTCAACTTCAATATATCTGGTCCTCTCATGAAACACAGGATTGGATACAATGTAAACAATCCAAGTTCCTCAAGAAAATGTTATAACCATGTCAACTCACTAGAGATATGGGTCATGGCCCTATACTCAACTTCAAAACTACACCGTGCTACCACTGTTCGCTTTTTAATTCTCCATGTAACAAGATTCCCTCCTACAAATATACAGTAGTTTGTAATAGATCTCCTATATGAGGGATACTGGGATAAATTAATTTCCCAACAAAGATATCTGCCAGCATCATTAAATAAATCACCCTCATTTGACAATAGTTTTGTATTTGGGTCCATAGGAGCATTAACCGGACAACTACCTAACATACATGTTTCTTCTAATAAGTCCAACACATATTTCCTTTGAGATAAACTTATTCCTTCCTTAGATCTAGCAACTTCAATAACCAAAAAATATTTGAGTTTCACCCTTAGTTTGGAACCGATTTTGCATAAACAACTTCAACTTGGCAATGCCTCGAGAATCATTAACATACACCGTAAGAAAAATGAAACTAGCTTTAGTGTGTTAGTGAAATACCGAATGATCTTTCTGGCATTTGCTAAAGACTAAATGCTAATGCTGCCTATGAGAATTTTCCAAAACAAGCCCTTGGAGATCGTTTCAATCCATACAAGGCCTTTTTAAGGCGACAAACAAGATGAAGGTACTCCCCCTGAGCAACAAACCTATGTGGTTGCTCCATATAAACTTATTCAGCAAAGTCACCATGTAAAAAGGCATTTTTCAAATCTAATTGAACTAACGGTCAGTTACGATTGGCAGCAATGGAAATAAGGACCCGGATAAAAGAAATCTTCGCAACAGGGGAAAAAGTCTCATCATAATCAACACCAAAGGTCTGAGTGTACCCCTTTGCAACAAGACGAGCCTTCAAACGCTCAATAGACCCATCATAAAGGTATTTCACAATATAGACCCACTTACAACCAACCGGTTTGGAACCAGAAGGTAAGGGAACAAGATCCCATGTCCCATTATGATGAAGGGCATCCATTTCATCTATCATTGCTTTACGCCAATCTGAATTAGAAAGAGCATCTTACAAAGTCTTGGGAACAAAAGTAGTAGACAGCTTGGATAAAAAACAGGATAAAGAGGGTGAAACATGATTATATATGAGACAAAGTTAGAAATAGGATGTGCAGTAACACAAGAGCAAGTACCTTTACGCAAGGCAATAGGAAGATCATCAGCAAGAGGATGAACCTCAATAGAAGTAGACAATTTGGTGGGATGCTTCTTGTAGTCGTCGACTATACATTTGAAGTGGTTTTGGTGTGACAGACTCAGTTAAAGTAGACAAAACACGCAACTGAAGTAACAAATCAATAGTTAAAGACGAACCACGTGAAGAAAAATAAAGAGTGTCCTCAAAAAAGGTGACAAAAGCACTACAAGTGCTAGGATCCCAACATTTATAACCCTTTTGAGTTCGAGAGTAACCAATAAAGACACATTTAATGGCACGAGGAGACAATTTATCAGTGTCAGAACGTAAGACATGAGCAAAGTGCGCACAACCAAAAACACGAGGAGTTAATGCAAATATCGGACGAGTAGGAAAAACAATAGATTAAGGGCATTTCCAGTTAAGAACGGAAGATGGCATACGATTAATTAAGTAGCAAGCAGTTAAAACAGCATCTCCCCAACATGCATTTGGAAGATGCATGTGGATCATTAATTTCAATTAAATGTCAATTTTTTCGTTCTGCGACGCCATTTTGTTGAAGAGTACAAGAACAAGAAGTTTGGTGCAAAATACCACAAAAGTCACAAAATTGAGAAATAGCACCTTTGACATATTCCATGGTATTATCAAATTGTAAAGTTCGTATAAAACACCCAAACTGGACCTCAATTTCTTTAAAAAATAATTGAAATATAAAAAAAAAAAAGTTAAAAACGATCCGTCATTAAAAATATTCAAGTCATCCTTGAATAGTCTATCAACAAAGGTAACAAAATATGAAAAACCTAAGTGACAGACATGATTCACATTCTAAAGTAGACACCGACTCAAGAAAAGGTAA